AATAAATACTACAAATTAAATGAAATTGAAAAAAATCTAATGATTTATTAAATATAAATTAACACTTTTAAATCAAGTTCCAAATAATATATCATTACGAATTATATTAAATAAAAATGTTTCAATAAATATTTGGAAAAGTAAGAATTTTTGGAAACATATGAAAATAATTAGGGAAAATTAAACTGCTTTAAGTTAAGTATAATGGAAAAAATATCATATACAATACTTAAATTGAAAAATTATCGTATACAATAATTATATTTATTAACATAATTAAATTAATTGACTAATAACAAATAAAACAAAAAAAATTTGCAAAACATGTGCACAACCAGAGCAGCGACAGCAACAATGCAAAGCTAAACAAACAATAATTGTGCATAGCATAGGTAATCTGAATAAATAACAACAAAAATACAGCGAAGAGTGCAAAACAGCGACACTACCTGTTGCTTAGCCAAACGTTTCTTACGTGCGTGTTGTGTACCCATACATATGAACACGCCGGCCAAGGTTAACTGTTCAGCATTGCTGCACATCCAAAGTCACACCAATGTGGCAATGCAACGAAATGACTAGAGAGACCTGCTTGCCAGTGTATTTGGACACGTCTTGAATACAGCTCTAGCGTAGAAGCGCTTAGAATGCTATGCGAGCCAACAATGTGGCACCACTACAACGTGTTTTGCTCTTCAAGCATACAAAGCTATGCAGCACATAAGTGTGCGCGCGATTCCGATGCGCTAGGCTTGCACACATTTACGTGCAATTGGTCTATACATATGTATATAAAGGAGATATTATAAATGCAAATATGCGAGCATTATAAAGTGGCGCGAATTGTTCCGATTGTGATTAGCGCACTTATCTGTGGGGATTTTTACCTCGCACTTCTTAACGCTTCGATTAGTAAATCTGTGCAAAAAATTAAATGCGCGCATTTAGCACATCAGAACCAGCATATTATCCACAATTCCAATTTCAACTTTGAGTAAAATCAATTTCACTCTTGTGGCAAGCCATAAGAATGCGCTCAGCAGGAAAACCCGCGTACATGAGAAGGTAACTAAAGAGGATGTGAAAATAACGAAATAAAAATAAATAAAAAACTAAAAAATAATAAAAAAATTAAAGAATTAAAGCGTAAAAATATTTTCAGCGGCAAAGCGTACTGAAGCCGCGAAAGTAGCGGAAAGATAAACTAAGCTAAAAATAAATAAAAAGTAAAGCTTTTCATTTTGAACAACGAAAAAGATGTAGAAAAAACGCTCACAACGTGACTGTCGACCGGTTTTTAAAGCGTCTAGTTGGCTTTTTTGTTTTGTAAAAGCATGTTGTTGATGTTTTATTTTTGCCACAACCGCTATTATACTATTTTGATGGCCTAGTGTTGGTGTTTATTGTTTATTCTGCTGTTGCGCTTTGGCGTTCTTCTGACATTGCGCGCTTTGTGTCTTTTCCGCATTTTTTTGTACCATAAATATAGTAAAGAAGAGAAGTAATCTTTCATTTTCTAATACAAAAAAATAATGAATAAAATTTATTACTAAATTAATAAAATAAAAAATAACAATAACGATAACGATAACTAAACTAACTAAATGCATTTGAACAAAAAAAAAAAAA